TCCTTCTGTTTTCAGAGAGAGTGACCCCAGCAGGCACCTCTATGGGTGTGACCCTGGGACTTGAATCATCAGCAATGGCCACCTGCCAACCAGCACGAGGCTCAACAAAAATGAATTGAGTATTAGAAGAATTAAACTAATTTATAGGGAGAGGTCAGCAAATTACGGACCTTGGGCCAAATTTGATCTGCTGCCTATTTTTGTAATGGCTTGTTTTTTATCTTTTTGTTAATTGTCACCTGAGGATATTTTTCCATTGATTTTGAGTGGAAGGGAGGGGGAGAGACAGAAAATCCATTGGTTGCCTCCTGCATGGACACCAATGAGGGCTGAGGGTCGAGCTTGCAACTGAGTGCCCTTGACTAGAACTGAACCTGGGACCCTCCAATCCACAGACTGGTGCTCTATCCATTGAGCGCACCAGCCAGGGCCTAAAGCAGCATTCTTTCTCTTCACCGTGCCCCTCCCAGGGCCTGCGCAGGGCTCCACAGGTTTGGCCCCTCAGTAGTCACCAGCCCTGTCGCTTCGACCGAGCCACCCACTTCTCTGTCTTAGTGACCCTCTGTGCCCCCTGGATAGGGAAGTGATATTTCACCAGGCACCCACTGTGTGCCATCCGCTGGGCTGGGCACGTTGCCCTTCGGGGCCTTAGGAAACGGCACTTTATTGGCCGCTGGAAGGATTCAAGAAGAGAAAACATGATTGCCTTGGAGGTGTTGGTGGTGGAGAGACCCAGCCACCTGTCATCACATCCAAAAAGGATCAAACAAGTGCCAACGGCAGCGGCTGAAACACCAGAGATGAAACATATGAGCTTCCAAAGGTTCCCACACCCCTGGGTGCTGCCCTGCCGACCAAGACGGGACTGCAGGGGCCTTGCTCAGAGTTCAGGGAGCATCACTCCAGACACTAGAGCTGGGGCGCAGACAGGTACGGCCTGGGACTGTCCCCGCTTTCCCCGCAGTAGAGTCCCAGAACTGGGTTCCCTCCGGGTTCTTAACCCTGGCTGCCCCTCAGATTCAACCGGGGGAGTTTTAAACTGGGTCTCACCTCTCAGGGCAATTAAAACTGATACCGGGAATAGTACTGTTAGAAAAGGCTTCCTGGCTGGCCCACATGGCTCAGTGGTTGAGCTTCGACCTATGAACCAGGAGGTCACGGTTGGATTCCTGGCCGCATGCCTGGGTTGTGGACTCAATCCCCAGTAGGGGCCGTGCAGGAGGCAGCTGATCAATGATTCTCTCTTATCATGGATGTTTCTATCCCTCCCTCTCCCTCCTCTCTGAAATCAATAAAAATATATTTTTAAAAAAGGCTTCCTAATTAGATGAATGTAAAGCCAGGAGGAACAACATTGCATTAGCACATCGAGGCTCGGTTTGCAGGAAACTGAGCTCCGGGTGCCTAATTCTGTTGGGGAAGGGCAGGGCGGGGGTTGGGGGCGATGCTATTTACGTGGTTTTCTTCCTCCCTAGGAGGTGGCAGACGTTGTCCTGGCACTTTGGACAAACCACGAGCCCCCTCAGCACATTCTGTCACATGCGACCTTCATTTTCTTTTTACGGACGAGGAGAGCAGTGCTCGGCTGTTGGAGAGCCTTCTGCAATGACCCAGCCGGAAGTGGCTGAACTGGGGCCCAGGCCCGGGTCTGCTGGGTCCCGATGTCCTGTTCTTTCCAGCACAAAACAGAACAAAACCCCAGAAAGAACAACCCTCTTTTCTCCACGTGAAACAAGCCGGTCACCTTTGACGTGTATCCATTCTACCTTCTGTCTCCTTCCTTCTCTGAGTTTCAACCCGGTGTCACCGTCCTAGCCCATGGGCCCGGGGGGTTTAGGGACGCTACGTTTTATATTTCTAGTTCTGATGACACCACTTAATGGATTGGGCGGCCTGTGATTGTTGCTGCCTCCTGGTCTCGGTCTTTGAGAACAGAAATGAAAGCAGAGCACACGTGGTGACTCCTGGTCTGGCTCGGTCCCCCGTTGGAGGCCGCAGATGGGAACACATATTTATCAAACATCTACTCTGTGCTGGACACCGTGCTGGGAAACGCGCACCGGAGCGAGACAGTCCCTCCTTTCGGCTGGAAGAGACAGGCTGTGTTCAGGTATGTTTATGAGATACAGAGGCACCAGCAGAAAGGGCTCCAGGTTATAGTGGAGTGAGGAAGGTTGATGATAGATAGAGCTGGGCAGGCACTGTTCTGAGCTGGTCAGGTATCATTTAATCCTCCTGTTAGCCCAGGCGGCACCTCACTGCTGAGAAAAACCTCAGGGAAAGCTAGTCCTGTGCCCGAAAGCCATTTCCCAACCTTGGTATTAACCTCTGTGCTGTGGGCCGTCCTGTGCACTGAAGGATGTTTAGCAGCGTCCCTGGCCTCTCTAGCCACCATGCAAGTTGTCACTGCCAGAAGGTCTCTGGGCACTGCTAACTTCCTGGGAGACACAGTCACGCCCAGGTGAAGTCCTGTACCCCAAACCTTCCAGCTCAGAAGGAGAGCCTCAATGACAGGGGCAGAAATAGAATATTGGGGACCAACTCTAATTGTAAGAAATATGGGTCATGCTCTGTGATTGTGTTGTTCTGATTCAAGAAGGCACATTCCAACCTGGGGAGTTGCATGCAGGCCCTGGGAGCTCACCTGGAAATGCCGCCCCCCCTCCCCAGCCGGGAGCTGCCTATTATCATGGGAAGATCAACAACCTTGTTGCAGAGACCAGAGGCGCCAGACCTTTGCTTATCACCAGCCCTTTGAAGAGCCCCAGCCTTTGCATCCCCGCAGGCCTTTGCAAATCTCCAGCCCGCTTTACCTGTTAACTGCCCTTTTGGCCCTTTGCCTACTTCTCCATGTGATCTTTGTCCTCCTACTCAATATGAGCAGCTGGCTTATGGTGGGGGGCAGAGCAGATTTTTGTGGCTGACCTGCTGCTCTCCCATGCTGCCAGTAGGACTGGAATAAACACTCATACTAGCATATGATTCAACCCTGTCTCTGCTGAATTGGCTCAAGTAGTGACAGGCAGCCCGGACCCATTGATTGTCCGGGTACATAAACTTCAACCTGGGCTGTCTGAATCCCAACGTGAGAACTCCTGTCCTTTCCTACACACCATGCTGACTGAGGAGGGGACAGAGGAGGCAGGAACTGGAGTGGGGACCGGGTGTGTGTGTGTGTGTGTGTGTGTGGCCTGGAAGCTGTATGTGTGTGTGAAGCTGGGAAGGTTGAACAGATGAAGAGACATCCACCACAAATGAAGAGGGGAGATGACATTTTAGGCTCTTCAGTGGCCTTGTCAGTGATAAATAGGTTTTCCGTAGAAGCTGTGAGTGTGCCTGGTATTTTGAACTTCTGTATCTGAGAGGAAGGCTCACTCTAAACAACCCCGCAGGGAGACAGTGCGTCTCATTCTGTGCGGGACACGAGGGCAACCCTAATCTCTGCCCAGACTTCTCTTTTTTCAATATATTTTTAGTGATTTCAGAGAGGAAGGGAGAAGGAGAGAGAGAAACATTAATGATGAGAGAGAATCATTGATTAGCTGCCTCCTGCATGCCCCCTTCTAGGGATCGAGCCTGGAACCCGGGCATGTTCCCTGACCTGGAATCAAACCGTGACCTCCTGGTTCATGAGTAGAAGCTTAACCACTGGGCCATGCCGGCCGGGCTGCTCTGACTTTACAAACAAGGTAATTCTGGGCATTCAAATGCTGGGGGAAATACGCCCATCCTGTTGGTCACACTTTGAGGTGGGAGCTGCCTGCCCACGCCCCGTGCCTTTGGGAGTGAGGTCTGTGTTCAGCACCTCGTACCTGAGAGCTGGTTTCATAATGTTTATGTGTCACAGAGGCGGTAAAGTTTCTGACAAATGGGCTTCCATACGAGGCTGTATTCGGATGAAATACACATAGACTTCATGGTGATGGGAAGCGGGGGACCCATACTGTCCCTCCAATAGCCCAAACAACCACCTTTTGGTCGTTTTTACATAAGAAGTCCCGATTCTGTGCTGGCATTTAACCTTTTCTGGATTAACTAATTCCTGTCTCAAGTGAGCCATTCTTTCAATAACTCATTTCATTACCAAAAAGCTGTGTTTTCAGTTAAAGAATCCAGCGACAAGTTCTAAGACTATTTCCCCTCCACGTATAACTGACCCCTCCCCACCCCATTAGGAAGCTTGATCTGAGAGGGGACTGGTGGCTTGTCCCTGTCACCCACCCACGACACCCGCCCCCCCTCCCCGGCTATTTCATCAGCAGCCAAGGCCAGGTTCTTACCTGGGCCCCCTCTGGACCTCGGGGAAGGGGTGCCTCTGCGGGGAGGGGGACACGTCGCCCTCTGGCTCGGGGGGCAGCGGCTGGTACTTCTTTGGAATAATGACAACAGGCAGCCTGTGTGAAGAGTCACAGGGGAAAGTGAGAAGCTTTGCGGCACAGGTGCCCGCCCCCCACGCCTGCCCTCAGTGTCCCCCACCTTGGTGTACACGTCAGTGTCTGGGTGCTGACACCTGACACCTCCGCCCGGTCCATTTCAGGTGCTGCGAACGAACCAGGCGGCATGTAGGAGCCTAAGGAGCCTCCGTCTACCTCCGTGCCACTTGCTCTTTGGTTTGGTTCTGCTTTCTGATGTGACTTGCTTTTTTTAAAAATCTATTTTTATAGATTTCATAGAGGAAGGAAGAGGGAGGGAGAGAGAATTGATCGGCTGCCTCCTGCACACTCCACACTGGAGATGGAGCCTGCAGCCCAGGCAGGTACCCTGACCGGGAATTGGACCCTGACCTCCTGGGTCATAGGTCAATGCTCAACCACTGAGCCACACTGGCAGGGCTCTGATGTGACTTTCTACAGGGTGTCTTTGGTTCTTCAATATGCTACCTGTTTGAGTTTTAGGAGGCCCGGGGACAAAATATCACAATAGCCTTCCATTTACCCCAGACTGGGATATCTGAGCTGTTTAAATTCCCAGAGAGATGGCGACATGCTTGAACGTCAGGGGCTGCCTCACTCACCCATGTATTCACCATCCACTCCCTCACTTGTGAGGTGTATGGGGCACTATTGACAGACGCTGGGAATGCAGAGAGGAAATGACTCAGCTGCTGGCTCAGATAATTCCCTCCAGGAGGCAGAGAGAATCGGTGAGAAGGTTCTCAGGGAGGGAATGACTGAGGTACTCCCCGGAGAACAAGAGCGCTGCCTCAGCAAAGCCCAAGAATTCAAGCCTGTTTCTCTCACCTCTGTGTCTATGTACTCATACATGTAATACTATTTGTACTTGTGTATGTACTTATACAAATGTAAACTGCTATCAGTCCCTTGAAGGCATTTCCCAGGCCCGTCCTATCTGGCAGATTTCTGGACCAGAAGGGAGAGAAACAGGAAGGAATAGGGGAAGCAATGATGAGGGAGGGTATATTGAGTGGACAACTGTGAATGAATGAATGATTGAGTGGATGAATGAAGGCTTATTTAATCTAGTTTGTTGGCTAACTCATTAAAATTTTTCAATGTCAACTTTTTGTGTTTTTCTTTTTTAAATTTTGGAACTTTTCAAATTCTGGAACTTATCTAAGCATATAGCACAGCAAAGCACCATTCTAAGTGTCTTACCGAGGAGGTGGTAAGGGAGTCTGCAAAAGGAAAGAGAATGAGAAGTTAAATTTATTGTTGTATGAGCAGAGCTAATGGTTAAGAATTTTTTTTGATTTACAAACAGAAATTACAAATCCCAACTATACTTCCAGGATATAGTTTTCAAGTGATATCTCAGCCTTCACAGTGTCCACATTCCTATGCTGCTAAAGTAAGGAGTGGGTAACGCATGCATTTTCATGATTCTTCTTACCTTGTTTCTCGTAGAGGGCTTGTCTCCTAAAACATGAGAGGGAACAGCAGTGAGTTTACAGAAAATGTCATCAGGCCATTTTTTAAAAAATGCCTATTTAAATGGAAATTATTCCTATTTGAATAATCTTGATATAATGTCAATTAACATTAAAAAATTTAATTCTCACCACAGGATATGTTTATTGAATTTAGAGAGGGAGAGAGAGGGAGAGAGAAACACTGATGTGAGAGAGAAACTTTAATTGGTTGCCCCTATATCTCCTGTATGTGCCCTGACTGGAAATTGAACCCACAACCTTTCAGTGTATGGACAACACTCCAACCAACTGAGCCATATCAGCCAGGGCAACATTTATTGATACCGAATTAGGTTTCCAGCATCAAGGTAAATACTTTAGTTATGTAATTTCATATAATCCTCTCCTTTGTGCTGGAAATAAAGAAACTGAGGCATGGGAAAGTTAAATATTTTTCTTCCAGCCACCCTGAAGTTAGCAAATGCTAGGATAAGATTTCAGGTCCCCTCTTAATCACTAATTCTTGATTAGAATGAGCATTCTTTTACATATAGCAATCTCATTAATTCAAGTTCCTTATTTGTGAAACAAGGTTGGACTAAACCGGCAGTCGGACATCCCCCGAGGGGTCCCAGATTGGAGAGGGTGCAGGCTGGGCTGAGGGCCACGCGCCCTGTGCACGAATTTCATGCACCAGGCCTCTAGTTGAATAGAATTACCATTCTCCCTATTTTGTTTCTGTTTTGGAAAATACTCTTTAAATAGCTAGGGTAGGCCTCCCGGCATGAGTTCAAGCACTGATGGCAAATGGGAATCGTGGGTGTCATTGGAAAAACACAAAATATGACCCAGGGCATATTTTGCCACCAGCAGCAATATAGTTCATGTTGTATCTTTGGCTATTGTGATGATATCACCAAAAAGTTTAGACTCCATGTTGTGTTCTTAATGCACAAAATTAGAAAAACAGAAAATGAACCTGCCCTCATTTTATTGAGTATTGGCTTCACCTCCCAAGCTCCTTGGGGAGCCAATTGGCTGCTGGTACTGATGACCTTCCCTGTGAAGCTAGATGCTGGCCTTCCTAGCAGTCTTCTTTCATAGCCACCACTCGCCTATGGGGGATCAATTCAATTCATGGGAAACACAATTCAATAAAGTGACTGAGTGTCCGAATTCAATAGGGACATTCCATTTATTGTTCCAGAGATATCTATCTCATCTGCTTCAGTGGCCGGGAGTTCAGGACAGGATATCCATCTTCCTTTTATTCACTGACATTATTGAGCATATAGCATGGGTCAGGCATGGATTCATTTTCAATATATGTGTTGATGGAGTTGTTGGGAATGTAATATTGCAAAAACAAACAAACCAAAAAACAAAACCACCAGAACGCTGCTATTCCCACATAACTTACATTTCAGTGGCAGGAGATAGAAAACAAATAAGTCTATGATGACAGGTGCCACAAGAAAAATGAAGCAGGGTGAGGGACAGCCGGCATGGAGAGGGAGAGATGCGGGATGGGGGTTGCTGTGTTTTTGGCAGACTCCTGAAGGCCTCCTGAATAAGTGATGAGAATGGAGGCCGAGGAAGGTGAGGGAGCATGGCATGTGAATATTAGGCAGAGGGAACAGCAAGTGCAAAGGCCCTGGGTGAGATGGGGGAGGGTAGGTCATGGAAGTGGAGGTGCCCAGGTCATAGGGATCTCATGGGCTGTGGTAAGAACTCTGCCTCAGCCATGGTGCATCTTTTTGATACACAGCCCAAGGGGTCTGTGTCTTCATTGTAATGTTGGGTTTTCTCTGGCATCACTTAGTAGTCCCCTCACTAGAATAATCTGGGTGTGCTATTACCAGCAGCAATGACAAAAATCCCCAAGGGTTTCACCTACATCAAACATGCCTACTCGTGGTAATTTATGTCATCATGCTTCTCCCATTCATCACTTAGGTCAGTGATTTTCAACCTTTTTCTTTTAAAAAAATATTGATTTCAGAGAGGAAGGGAGAGAGAGAGAGAGAGATAGAAACATCAATGATGAGAGAGAATCATTGATCAGCTGCCTCCTGCACACCCCACACTGGGGATGGAGTCTACAACCTGGGCATGTGCCCTGACTGGGAATTGAACCCTGATCTCCTGGTTCATAGGTCGAGGCTCAACCACTGAGCCATGCTGGCAGTGCCAACCTTTTTTTTAAAAAAATATATATTTTTTTATTTTTAGAGGGAGAGAGGAAGGGAGGGAGGAAGAGGGAGAGCGAGTGAAAGAGAGAGAAACATCAATTTGTTGTTCCACCTATCTATGCATTCATTGGTTGATTCTTGTATTTGCCGTGACCATGCATTAAACCCAAAACCTTGGTGTATTAGGATGATACACTGACCAACTGAGATACCTGGCTAGGGCTCAACCATTTTTATCTCATGGCACACATAAACTAATTACTATAATTCTGCGGCATACCAAAATATATAGTTTTTGCTGCTCTGTAAAAAACAAAAAACAAGACTGTAATTCTGATTCATTTACAGTGACTGGCGATTGTGGTGTTGGCCGTTGTCATTTTTAATTTCTTAGGCCTTTGAAATAGTCTTTATTTCTGAACATTCCTTTACAACCTCCTCCCCAGGATTGACTCCCACACATGCAGCTGGAGGCCAAATACCTCTCCCCATCCCCACGAAAATCAGATTCATGTTCCTGATTGTAGGACACTTTGCCTTTGAGGTCCCATGAACTCCCCAACCTTTGCCCCTGCAATCCTGTTCCCGGGCTGGTCCCTCCCTTGCCCCATTCACACTGAGCATGAACCTGAAACCTTAGTGCCCCCTGCATAATGTACCCCCGACCGAAGTTTCAGCTTCCAAAGGCCCAGAAAGAAGCCTTTGCTGGGTGCATCCAATGAGCAGGGTCACTACAGGGGCACATCATGGGCTCCATGAAAATGCCACCTTATAAAACTTCCTTTGTCTATGATGCTTGGTGGTAAGATGGATGGTCCTGGGCTGTCCTAACTCCCTCAGTATCCCCGTGAGCTCAGCCTGGATCAGGGCAAGTCTCTCTTGGTTGACAATCCCTTGGGTGTTGTAACACTCCAGGGGGATGGGGTACACCTCGACCTCTAAACTGCGCAGCCCGGCTGTGTGGCGCAGCAGCTTCTCCACGGTGGCCATGGGGAAGTTGTTCATACAGATGGAGAAGTCCGTGAGCTGGTGGCAGCGGCTCAGGGCAGGCAGGATGGCCTCGACTTGGGAGTCCGCCATCCCACAGTTATCCAGACCCAGGGCCTGGAGGGTGGGTGCCACTGCCTCCAGCAGAGCTCGGAGGGGCTCACTGAAATCCACAAGGCTGAGGCCATATAGATATAGGATCTTCAGCTGCCTGAGGTTCGGGCACTGGAACAGGTGTGTCAGGTCTGAATGGGTCAGCCGCTGGCAATATATTAGGCAGAGTTGGTCCAAGGGAGTCTGCAGGCACCTGAGCATCTGGTCCAGACGGCCTGGGAGGAAGGAGGGAGAATGCATATAGAGCTCCCGGAGGTGCCCCAGCCTGAGCATCTGAGAGAGGAATTGGGAAAAGGATCGCTGCTCCTCCTGCTCCTGCCTTTCCCACTCCTGCTCCTCTTCCTCCAACTCCATCTCCTCTTCCTCCTCCAACTCTTCCCTCTCCAACTCCCCTTCCTCCCTCAACTCCTGCTCCTCTTCCTGTTGTTCTTCCTCCCCCTCCTCCTCCCACTCTTCGTCCTCTTCCTCCTCAGCCAACACATCGATGCGGGGGAGATAGAGTGTCTGCAGGTGACTCATCTGACCCAGGTAGAGAGCAAATGTCCCCAGGGTGGGCAGGTCCCAGGTGCAGTTCACGTACACCTCCTGGATGCAGTCCAGCCTCACCCCATCCAGGACCCTCCTGACCCTCTGGAAGGGCACCCCATTAATCCTCAGTGCCTTGCAGCACAGGTGTAGCAACCCTTCCCTCTGCTGGGCCCACTGGATGATGGTCATGAAAATCTTATCCTGGTCGCTTTCATTGAAGATAAGGTCTAGGAACACCTCCAAGGGAGCCAGGGGGTGCTCCATGTTGGGGCTGGAGCTGTGCACAGGCACTGG